ACTTGTCTATTTTATCTGAGTAATACTTCCCACTAAATTTAAAAGCATTATTTTCATGCTATTTTGTTTAGCTCAAAAGAAGGAACTTGACTCATTATTATAGTAACCATGTATAAGTTGCTCATTATTGTAGTAACCATGTATCAATTGACTCGCTATTGTTGTAACCATGTATCAATTGACTCGCTACTGTAGTAACCATGTGACACTTGACTCGCTATTATAGCAACCATCTATCACTTGACTCACTATTGTAGTAACCATGTATCAATTGACTCGCTATTGTTGTAACCATGTATCAGTTGACTTATTATTGTTGTAACAATGTGCCACTTGACTCGCTATTGTAGTAAACATGTATCACTTGACTCATTATTGTAGTAACCATGTATCAGTTTACTCGCTATTGTTGTAACCATGTATCAGTTGACTCGCTCCTGTAGTAACCATGTGCCACTTGACTCGCTATTGTAGTAACCACGTATCACTTGACTTATTATTGTTGTAACAATGTGCCACTTGACTCGCTATTTTAGTAACCATGTATCACTTGACTCATTATTATAGTAACCATGTGTCACTTGACTTATTATTGTTCTAACAATGTGCCACTTGACTCGCTATTATAGTAACTTTGTGCCACTTGACTCATTATTGTAGTAACCATGTATCAGTTGACTCGCTACTGTAGTAACCATGTGCCACTTGACTGCTATTGTTGTAACCATGTGCCACTTGACTCGCTATTGCACCAAGGCGACCATTGTATGTTTTGTAGAATATGTTAAACTTTAAGTTTATTTTATAAAGTTTATGCAATAAAGTCAGAAAACTAGGTGTTTAACCATGCAGTTATGACCTGTACCAAAATAGTTATCAGTTGAAAATATCAAAATATTTTCACTCAACTCACGTGATCCTCAGTTTTATGCAGGAAAACTCGCTCTAACAACGTTCTTTCCTAACTTGTATACCCTTGTATACCAATTTTGATAATGTGGGATAATGGTAAGTTTGCAGACTAACAACGCCAATATCCGGGATTCAGTTCCCAGCAGAAGACACGGCAGATAGCCCAATGCGGCTTCACTTTAAAACAAACAAACACATTTTAATCTTTCTACCAGAGGTGGAGATGAGACTGTCATGCCTTTTATGTCACATACCCACTCATTTCTATACATTACATATCCAATGATAAACTCATGGATTATAAGTAATCACACAAAAAATTCAAGTTAGATCGTCAAATTAAGCTTGTTTCAAAAGAAACACGTATGGCTGAAGGCTACTTCATTAGCAGCGATAACTTATTCTTAATTGGAATGTCTTACAAAAGGTAGTTCTAATATTTCAGAATTAATCGTAGCATCGAGGGACGATAATCCATCAGGTCTGGAGAACTCATCCCTATTAGAAGAGAAAATATCCGTTCCACGTCTTCAAGGTAACGTATTTTTTTCTTTTCCTAAATGTTACGTTTTTTTATGACATGTCTTGCATAAAATAACTTTGTCTTGAATCTTAAAAAATAGAATTTGTGAACCGTTAATGTTTTTGTTGTTAAGCTAAATGTAAATTTTCTAAATTGAGTCGATATCTTAAGTTACATTAATTACAAGTGAAATGCTTATTTACATTACAGATTAGTTTGCGTCTAATCAAAATAGGTTCAACGTATTCAAAACTTCTTGGCTAAATCGTTTGTTCATCTTAGATGATTTTCTTACGCTTATCTTGCTCATTGTGAGTTTTTGATGGATAAAAAGATGAGAAAAGTGTTGTAGGAAACCATCTGTTGGTTTGGTAAAACCAAGTCCAACATTCTCTACATATGATGATCACTGTATATCTATAGTAGGTGTATTTCATTGAAAGTAACTTGTGTATCTATATTAGATGTATTTCATTGAAAGTAACTGTGTATCTATATTAGATGTATTTCATTGAAAGTAACTGTGTATCTATATTAGATGTATTTCATTGAAAGTAACTGTGTATCTATATTAGATGTATTTTATTGAATGTAACTGTGTATCTATATTAGATGTATTTCATTGAAAGTCACTGTGTATCTATATTAGGTGTCATTGGAGGTTACTGTGTATCTATACTAGATGTATTTCGTTGGACGTCACTGTGTATCTATACTAAAGGTATTTCATTGAAAGTCACTGTGTATCTATATTAGGTGTCATTGGAAGTTACTGTGTATCTATACTAGATGTATTTCGTTGGACGTCACTGTGTATCTATACTAAAGGTATTTCATTGAAAGTCACTGTGTATCTATATTAGGTGTCATTGAAAGTCACTGTGTATCTATATTAGGTGTCATTGGAGGTTACTGTGTATCTATACTAGATGTATTTCGTTGGACGTCACTGTGTATCTATATTAGGTGTCATTGGAGGTTACTGTGTATCTATACTAGATGTATTTCATTGGACGTCACTGTGTATCTATACTAGAGGTATTTTTTACACAGTGACGTCCAATGACACCTAATATAGATACACAGTGACTTTCAATGAAATACCTCTAGTATAGATACACAGTGACGTCCAATGAAATACACCCAGTAGAGTTACACAGTGACGTCCAATGACACCTAATATGGATACACAGTGACTTTCAATGAAATACACCCAGTAGAGTTACACAGTGACGTCCAATGACATCTAATATAGATACACAGTTACTTTCAATAAAATACCTCTTGTATAGATACACAGTGACGTCCAATGAAATACATCTAGTATAGATACACAGTGACTTTCAATGAAATACACCCAGTAGAGTTACACAGTGACGTCCAATGACATCTAATATAGATACACAGTTACTTTCAATCTCTACTGGGTGTATTTCATTGAAAGTCACTGTGTGTCTATATTAGGTGTCATTGGAAGTTACTGTGTATCTATACTAGATGTATTTCATTGGACGTCACTGTGTATCTATACTAGAGGTATTTTATTGAAAGTAACTGTGTATCTATATTAGATGTCATTAGACGTCACTGTGTAACTCTACTGTGTGTATTTCATTGAAAGTCACTGTGTATCTATACTAGAGGTATTTTATTGAAAGTAACTGTGTATCTATATTAGATGTCATTACACGTCACTGTGTAACTCTACTGTATGTATTTCATTGAAAGTCACTGTGTATCTATATTAGGTGTCATTGGACGTCACTGTGTAACTCTACTGGGTGTATTTCATTAAAAGTCACTGTGTATCTATATTAGGTGTCATTGGACGTCACTGTGTAACTCTACTGGGTGTATTCCATTGAAAGTCACTGTGTATCTATATTAGGTGTCATTGGACGTCACTGTGTAACTCTACTGGGTGTATTTCATTGAAAGTCACTGTGTATCTATATTAGGTGTCATTGGACGTCACTGTGTAACTCTACTGGGTGTATTTCATTCATTGAAAGTCACTGTGTGTCTATATTAGGTATCACTGGAGGTTACTGTGTATCTCTACCCTGAGTCATTGGAGGTCACTATGTATCTCTACTTGGAGTAAATCGTTAAAGGTCACTGTGAATTTCCACTAGGTGTCATTGGAAGGCACTAGTCATTTGTACTAAGTTTCGATCTAGATTTCTAGGGTCACTGTGAATCTTTATGAGGCATCATCCGAGGTCACTGTGCCTCTCTACTAAGTGTCATGTCATTTCTTTAAAATGCAACATTCCAGTAGAACCTTACTATAAAACTAATTTTTGTTTAGCCAGAAAACATTTTAGCCTTTTTTTGTTGTTGTTGTTGTTTTACTAATCGTATTACTATCCGCTTGTTTACACACGGTCAACTACCAACGGAGTCGTTATGAGTAATTTTGTGTTATGACTTGTCACAACACTGGGGTTAAGAATGAACTAACCACCGATAACTGTACTAAATCGCTTGTTTTCTATGTTAATTACATAGAAAGCCTCGTAATAATTAGTTGGGTTACTCACAATATTAACGGTAATCTAAAAGAAAATTGTAATTCATGTTTTATTAAGGATCATGTAACCAACAAACACATGGACCTACAAGTAATTTGATGCACGGATAATGAAGAGAAATGTCGGACTGTAATTCTAGGCTTAAGGTAGTTTAAAACTATGACTCCATCTTTTGTAATAGATAGCAACATAACTGACGTGTAGCAGAATATATGGACCTAAAATAGTCAATACCAGATTTACATTTGCACAAAGATAGTGGCAAGTGTAATAAATCACTTATTATGCTTCGTTCCATCCTTATTACATAATAATTCCTAAGACGGTAGGCACTAAAGTATGCGAATATATTAATCATAGTACAGATTGTATATATACATTATCTGTGTTAATTACTTCAACTCACACATAGTGTGATGGTATTTAATGAAGTACTAACAATATTATGGTTCGTACTTCAGAATGGGCAGGCAAAATTTCAGTATTTTTTGCCTATGTATTAAATGATACCTATTTTAGACAAACCTTAGCTTCAATTAAACTGCACCGAATTCGAATAGATCTAAATCATTGCTATCACGTGCATTGCTTTGGTTAGCAGAATCTCCATCTTGATCAGCTGCCATAGAAAATATGCTTCTAGTTGGGTGTTAGAAGATACAAGTGTGTTGCATAAGTATCATAAAACGATGACAACATGAGCACAACATCCCACTCTTTCAGTTTCGTATTGAGTAACTAATTGACGCTGTGTCATAGGTGATCCATGAGAATGACCTTTGATACTATGTGCTGTAATTGGAGTTAGATCCGTAACAGGTTATTGTCGTGTCTGTGTTGCAACAGGACGCAACTACATGTGTATGAAAGATATTCTCGAGTAAACCTATTTGAGCTGGTAAGCTCTAATGGTTGAATCACGAGTGTAGGGAGTCGGGAAATGTAGCTTAGAGTCGTATGTAGCCATCTAATACTTTCAGACTGGCTTATTTTGTCACCAGAAGATCATTTTATTTGAATAAATGTGAAAACAAGACTTTCCTCTTCTTTCTGAGTGTTGTTAAGTGTACTGCTAAATGTAAAGGAGTTGCAAGTTAAGTATGAATTTAACCAAATATTTTTATTTTGTCAAATCTCCTATTCACAGACTCAAGAGTTCAAGTGATCTTGTCCACTTTTTGGAATTATCGGTCTTCTCTGTTGAATGTTGCTTTTGCCTGTCTGTTTTAGGTAAGAGTTCTGTAAGACTAAGAAAGCCTTGGTAAATAGATAAATATCCTTCTGAAGCTATTACTTCGTGGCATCATACCGTGGTCAATAAATAAATATACATTCTGATGTTATTCCTTGGTGACAATATACTGCAGTCAACAAATATATCTTCAGAACTATTAATTGGTGACAATATTCTGTAGTGAACAAATAAATATCTCTTCAGAACTATTAATTGCTGACAGTGTACTGTAGTCAACAAATAAATATCTTCAGAACTGTTACTTTGTGACAATATACTGTAGTCAACAAATAAATATCTTCAGAACTATTAATTGGTGACAATGTACTGTAGTCAACAAATAAATATCTTCAGAACTGTTACTTTGTGACAATATACTGTAGTCAACAAATAAATATCTCTTCAGAACTATTCCTTGATAGCATCATACTGTTCTCATTGAAGGCAAAATATCTAACAGCAAGTTAATGCTTCGTGGATGTGTCTAGCTGCACTCACGAATACCATTGGCTTCACTAAAGGCCTATGTATATAGTCACTGAAAATTTCATATAGAAAAATGTAAATGCAGCCATGCTGCAACAGATTTCTCTATTCATCATCAGGCAGTTCATCTTGCGTTACATATTTCTTAGACACGGGCTTCTTCCAACACCTTTTACGTGAAGTAATGATGCGTCGGTCTACAAACACATATATTAGTACATGGATTCGTGATTTTCAATGAATGCCTCTCCTTTTTCCTCTATTTTGTCTTATGTACGTTTTCTATAACAGTCTGTGTTCGAAACTGCAAAGTTTTCGTGTTATATTCAAATTCCTCGTATATAAGAAACGCTTGGGTTTGGTAGAGTGAGCTTTTGGTTACAATTTACAGCTATTTACTCCATATCCATGTATCACTTGCTTTTTGGAGCTACTTAGGTCAGAAAAACACGCTTCTCCGAGGATATGTCTATGACAATGTGAGAGTCTTGCACCTCTTAGGACTAACCAACCACACAAAGGGAGTTATTCTGGCACCATACACATCACTGCAGTGGCACACTTCCATTACAGGATTTTGCCATGAAAGATATGTGTGTCTGTTGGATCTAATATTTACAGGCTGCTCAATAGTCAGACGTCAAATAGCAGCACCTCTGTGATAAGGACGGTCGGGAAGCCCTTTGTGGACGTAAACAGAACCAATCAACGTTACTGGGACACTTTATGGATAAAGCAGGGCAACTGTTCTTACTTATCTACACTTAGTGTCGACTGTCATTCAACATTCCTAAACGTTTTCAACCTTCGAAGTTTCAGAATACTAAGCTTTTCCAGAACAAATTTAACACAAACTAACGTTTCTATATGCAGAACATGCATTGCAAGTTTCAATTCCATACTCCACAAGAACCATTCCAAATCAAATCATGTCGTTTGCTCTTTTACCTACTGTGTTAAAGCATAACAATGAAAGAGGTAATCACAAACTAGACAAACACAACATGTCCTTTTTGTGTGTGTTTATAACAGAGGACACATTCTTGATTATCTACAGCTTTTAAAGTCATATATCCATCCAGCATTATTATTTTGTGGTGCGGTGGGTGATTTTAGGACCTTTTTGATATAATGTTGTTTAACGTTGAAAATACTTCTTCTAAGATCTCTTACAAAAAAGTTATTTTACAGTTTAGATGAAATATTAAAACACGTTATGAAACGTGGTAAATTCGTTGTCTCTCTCTTGATGTTGGAACTACTTTACGATACTGATGTTTTATGTTAGTTAAAATTAGAAATTTAACTTAAAACAAAAGAATAAGAATAAAAGGCAATTTTCAAACTAAACCTTAAAATAGTCAGATGAAACAATGTAATCCATAATTTATTCCTAACATTGAAGTTCCAGTTCATGATTTTCAGAATATGTTGTACATATTCTTTTTTATGCAATACAAGAGAATGAGTCAGAAACATGTTTATAAACATGTATTTTATGTGTACGAAGAGAAAAAATGCGCACAACCAACTTCAACTTGAAATATCTTGTCTTTTGTTTTAATAACTTTCGACATTTTGGATAAGAACAATAAAGGTTACACTCTTATCGCCATATTTGGAGTAGTTCTACAGCAAGATTCTTTGCTTGGTTTTTCTTTATGTTTAATCGTGTGAACCTAATTCAGTAATTGCAATAGTCGTAACAAGGGCGACCTGACAAGAACCATATCTCATGCTCATTTAGTGACAACCATATTTCATGTTAAACTATTGATAACCATTTCTCATGTTCACTTGATGAAGATCATAGTTAACATTAAACTGGCGATAACCATTTTTCATGTTTCCTTGATGAAAACCATAGTTAACATTAAACTGGTTTGTTTTGTTTGTTTGTTTTGAATTTCGCGCAAAGCTACACGAGGGCTATCTGCGCTAGCCGTCCGTAATTTAGCAGTGTAAGACTAGACGGAAGGCTGCTAGTCATCATCACCCACCGCCAACTCTTAGGCTACTCTTTTACCAACGAATAGTGGGATTGACCGCACATTATAGTGCCCCCACGGCTGAAAGGGCGAGCATGTTTGGTGTGACAGGGATTCGAACCCGCGACCCGCAGATTGCGAGTCGAGAGCCCTAACTACCTGGCCATGCCGGGCCCAATTAAACTGGTGATAACTAGTTTTCATGTTCATGTGGTGAAAACAATATTTGATTTTAAAATGGTGATAACCATTTTTCATGTTCACTTGATGAAACTCATACTTGACGTTAAACTAATGATAACTATTTTTCATGTTCGCTTATTGAGAACAATATTTTATGTTTAATTGATAGCAACCATTTTTCATACTCATTTGATGACAACTTTGTTTTATGCTTATTTGCTGACAATCTTATTTTATGTTAATTTGATCCAGAACATGTTTTATGATAAGAGTAATATTTTAGTTAAATTGATAATCACAATAATTCATGCTGAATTTATCATAAACATATTTATTTTCAACCAGAATATAGCTGCTTAAAAATCGTGTTTTCACCACATTCATACATACAGTCCAAGTTTTTTTATTGGAGCTACCATAAAAGAATGTAGAGAAAACCCTTGTTTTCAGAATTTGTATCTAGTTTAATAAACACTTACAACAGGAGACTCTTCACGATGAAGATTTATCTTCTATTGAAGTTGGTTGTTTTAAAAGTCGTCCTGAATGTCTTTACAAACCTTGAAATAGTTTAGGAAAGTCAACTTAACATACTGAATATGTTCATCAAACTACAATTTTTCACCATGAATATTACTCTTTCAATGTCAATATTCTGCTGATTGGTTAAGAAATAATTATACAAATGAAAATAAAAAATGGAAGTCTGAAATGAGAAAGTGAGAAAAATAAGAATGAAAATAAAAGGAATTAGAAACAAACCTAGAAATTAAAACACTCTCCTAAAAATAAATTTTGTTGTTGTTATACCTTTTAGATGTTTTAGCTATTGATATTTTAGTAAATGCTCAGCAACCGTCTGTACAAATAATATTCTGAATATGTTGCAAAACTATTAATTAAACACGTGATCTGACTCTCCACATAAAGTTATTTGCAGCTTAAGCCAACACTTCAAGCAGGTCAACAAAATGTGAATGCTCGTTTTATGTGTCGTGTAACGTTCAGCAACTTGATGTAACCAGCCAGCAAGCACTGCATTCTGACGAGTTTAACTGAACATTTGGATGTCAGTGTAGAACTGGGTTAGGGATAGGTTTTGTTGTTTATGGATTTGGTCGGTTTATTTTGAGAGAAAGTGACAATATTGATCTCTTTCTGCAACATTGCGGACGTTTTCTTGCACTACATGCGTTACTTTAGAATTTTAAGAGTGAATTGCAGAGCTATTTGGTTTTTGCTGGTGATAGCTTCCTTGAGTTTGAGGGCAGTGAGATTCTAGATTCTGAGTGTGAGAGTAGTTTATCCTCTTTCAATAAAATATAGACATATTTCTCAGGTTCTCGTTTTAGATAATTTTGATTGAATTAAATAAGTGCTTTTGACTGCTGTAAGTATATTTCACAGCTCATATTGGATACTTTGAATATATTTAGATTTTTAAATATAAACAAACGTAGTCGGATTATACAGGATGATATAAATATTTTAGATAAATGGTATCGGATACTTAGAATATTTTGGTTAGATAGAACTGTATACTTGAAATGTTTGTATGTACACACGATAGACGGTACTTAATAATTATAGCCAGCTTGTATTGGGCACTTTAAATATTCATGTGATTTTTAAATCCTCTTCAATCACTAATAAAGTAACCTGAAATAATTCAGGCGTGTGAATAAGACTTGGCAAGAACAAAAAATTCTCTGCCACTAGTTTTTTTTTTCTGAGTATTTTGATGATGCTGATTCTAAAATTATGATAAAGTTGTTCAAAATATTCTTATATATCATGAAAATAACAACTTTTTCTTTACCAACTTTATTCATTGAAAATTGCATTTAAGAATGTTCAAAACCAATACATAATAGCAATACCAGTTTAATTAAGAAAGTAATCCCTATAATAGGATTATATACTGAAAATACATTCAGTATATATTTTTTTCAAATATTTTGCATAATTTCTTACAAGATACCTGATTGATTTCTTGCGTCTTTTGTGTATGTTCTCAGTTTCACGCTGTAAAAATCAACAGTAATCTCCCATCATCTTTGATATCGCTGTTCCATTTTAGAAATATCTTGGTGGAACCACTCACGATGGCCGTCATTCACTGCACCTAGATCATTTAGAAAGAAGTCTAAATGAGAGTGTAGGAAGTGCATCTTTAGTGACATCTTAGATCCCATTTTCCTGTAGTTCTCGGGCATATCATCAGTCATCACAGCATAATTCTCATCTGTGATTTCCTAAGAAATGTTCACATAAATAATTTAAATGATTTCCAGGCAGCACGTTCTTTCTGATTGAGTACTGTTTCAAAATCATCATCCATCAACACTTCTCGAATCTTTCATTTTTGCTTCACTCATTTTTGGAAACATGCCAGACAGGTATCTGAAACCATTACCATCTTTGTTCATTGCTTTTATCAAATTCTTTATGAGTCCCAGTTTAATATGAAGTGAGGGCAGAAACACATTTTGAGGATTAATTAAAGGTGTACACTCGATATTCTGTTTTCCTGGTGTGTAATTCTCTCTCACTGGCCATTCTTTCTTTTTGAAATGGTTTTTATCATCTCGGCTCTCCCAGAGACACAAAAATCAACAATGATTGGTATACCCACTCTACAGGCCTAGCAAGAGTGCAGTAACTTTCAGATCACCCCATATTTTCCACTTGCGGTGATCATATTTTATGGCCTCAAGTATAATCTGCATGCTTTGATAAGTTTCTTTCATGTTCACAGCATGAGTAACATGAATCGATGGCTCAGTGTTCCCATTGTGCAAAAATAACTTTAAATGAGTCGCTAAAATGTCTCCATACTTGAGGATGATATTCAATACCTAATTCTTCCATTAGTGCATCAACATTTACAGACACACAAAGTATCTTGCATGTTGTAGCGAGAAGCAAGACTTTGATGGCAACTTTGGTGAATTGAAACTCTTTTCCTGGAGCTAATAAATTCCACTGCTGTAAACGAGAGGCAAGAAGTTCCTCACGCTGCTTTGATAGAGACGAGTCACGAATCAGATCATTTAGCTTTTCTTGTGTAATCAGATGAGGTGCCACAGGAATAGAATTACTCGTTGAAGAGGATGAAGATGATTTACAGTCTACTTCATAGGATAACTCTTCTGTTTCCCAATTCACTGGTGGATATGACACTCGAAGATCATCCCCATGAGCTACTGGTTTCATTGCAGATGCAATATCTAGATATTTAATGCAGTGTTTAGTTTCCCTGAATATCCAGAAACATTAGTCATGCAAAAATAATAACTGTCATTTAGATTATATGTGGGCTCACGCCATATTATAGGAATTCCAGATGGCATACTTGCTCTCTTCTTATTCAGCCACTGTGTCAAGCCAGATGTGCAAACTGTACAACACACATGGACTTTACTTGAACTGGACGCAGCCAGCATTTCAAATGCTTTCTCAAAAAATATAAAAGAATTTATGTTTACAGAACTAGAGGAAGAAGACTGGACTTTGTTAAGACTGTGTGCAGAGCGAGTTGAAGTGACCAATTGAGTGAGAGAGAGGCACTGAGAAAGAGGCATCTGACTCCATCCCTTCCAGGATCAGTCGAGGGATTCTCGGGTATTCTAGCAAACTGAATACGTGATGGTATCGTGATTCCTGGACGGAGCAGGTAAGCGTGGGAATGGAGAAAAAGTGGAGCAATTCGCTACAATTATACCGAGAACAAATAGCATATATGAACAATATATCTGCAATTTAAAACCAATACAATAAATGTATGAAGTTATCAAAAATGTATGCCTTTTACCCCTTAAATTGTCCAAGTTAATTTCACAGCATAAATCTATTGTACTGAGTTTATTGCATGGTATTTCACATAGTGCTGATAAAAAATTGAAATTATTATAATAACTCAAAATGTAGAGGTGATGAACAAATTCTGACTACATTTTTGAAATCAGCACCATCAGATTACTCCGAATCACTTGAGTTTTCTCTAATATCAATTTTTGTTTGTCCACTATTTAATGATTATATACAATAAATATGGAAAAAAATTAACGGCAAGTAGGAATCATTGGTTATTCGTCGAATTGCTATAAGAAGTGTCCAATACTTTCTTTGATTGGCCGTACCCTCTGCTGTGGACTGCAGTTTCGCCCATACAAAACTCATCAGCACAGCTTGGGCTAATAAACCAATTGACTGAAAAGGACTTAAGAACCTCATAAATGTTATAGAGAGGTTAAAAGCGATCCTAACTGTATATCTTTGGTGAGAAAGAAACGAAATATATATATAGATATATAAACTTTAAATATTTGTATGCACTAAACACTTTCAATATTTTTAGATATATTATGCCAGCCAGTTTGAATTTTTTTATATAGGGCTTATGAAACACGTTGAATATCTAATACAGTTAAAAGCCAGTTGCCAGTTACTTGCCCAGTTCATCAAATAATCTTATTGTTAAGTAGCAACAACATCCCTACAGCTATCAACATTCAAGTCCTTAATTTCATCAGCAAGTTCAAGTAATTCATTGACTATTCAATCATCTATATCACTGATGTAAATCAGAAAGATTAAAGGTCATAACATTGAGCGTTAAGGTACCCCACTTGGAACATTAATCTAGTCGGACTGAATTCCATTTATAATAACCCTCTGCTTTCTTTTATTTAGCCAGTTTTCTATCCAATGAGCCAATTTATCCCTCACAACTACAGAGGTAACTTTTAACACGCCTTTTATGTGACACCTTACAAATGCTTTCTCAAAATCCAAGTACCCCAAATCTAAACCATTACCTCACCAACATAAGCAATCACCTCTTCAAAGAATGTCAAAAGATTAGTAAGGGAAGAGTTTTTCCTAGTCGATCCATGTTAACTGTCCAAAAACATTTTAAACTTCGTTAAATTATCTTTCAAAGCATCTTTTACCAAACATTCAAAAAATTTTCCCACCACTGATTTAAAAACTTATACAAAACAACAAGTGGCTCACATTATCCAATCTTTAACCTCCTTCAAAACCATTGAGAAAATATTAATTGGCCCAGGAGACTTATAATTGTAAATGTTCATGAAGAGAACTTAGGCCGATAACTGGTTTCGGATAATTTGAATATTTTTGGATAGGTATATTTTATAACACATAAGATCATTATTATCAGCACTGTCAAACTGAGAAGTGCTTGTTATATTAAACATCTACGTATGTAATTTGTATAATGGGACAAGTTCTATGGACATCATGAACGATTTATTACAATAGCAAACAATTTTATCAGACACATGTAGAAAAATGTGTAATTTAGCATTTCACCTATCACAAATAAACCTTACCAAATCATATATATAATGACAAATTATAACTTTAAATGATTACAAATAGTGACTGTAACCTTATAGCAGTCCAATTCATATAAACATTCAGTACTTAGTTGTTCCTTCTCGTACTTTAATAACCTCAACAAGGCAAAGTGGCATGCTGCTGATGAGGTTATTGACATAATCCAACGTAATTTCATCCCAAATTTTCACTAGAAGGCGCTGTAATTCAACTCAGCTACAGTAGTTGTTTTAGGGTCATAGTTAGCAATTCTCCAACTCAGTTCTGCTCAACAGTTCTCAATTGGATTACACTCTGGAGAGTTTGTTGGTCATAGTAATCGTGTAACGTCCTCTTGAGACACAGAGTTATTACCAATCCTTGCCTCAGCATGTGGTAGGGATATTGTCACCATGTGATGCCTGTAGGAGGCTTCATTGACGGTTTCCCTTGAGGATATGAAGAACAATTTTCCATCATGATTAGTAGCTGCCCAAACATGTACTGCACCCCCTCCTGTGGGAAAGACAGTCTTCCCTCATCCGTTTTCCAAGCAAACAACGAACACGAACCCTACCATCAGCTTTAACAACCTGAAAACAGGACTCAAAAAATGTCGCCATTGTTTTAACTGTAAGTCGGTATGCTGTCTTGTCCAAGTAACATGGTGAGGGCAGTGAATTCTGCTTAATATCAGTTTGCAGATAGCCCTTCTTGCAAAATAACCTTGTTTGGTCAGTCTCCTAGTCACTGTTCTTCTGGATACCCTGGAACTAAAGTGTGCATGCCCTTCCTGTCGTAAGGTGTTTCAAGATTTCTTTCGACATTGATGTGTTAACTTGATCACAACACAGTCATCTCTGGCAGTAGTTTTCCGGCGTCTACCAGTAGACTTTCCTGGAACAACGTTTCCTGTGGTCCGAAGACGTTTCAGAATTCTGGATACAGTACATTGGGGGTACTCTACTGTTCTGGCAATATCGGTTTACTTTTGGACAGTCGAACTGTTTAACGCCCTATAACTTCTAGCACGTGACGAGTCATGACTCAATACCAAATACAGAGAAATTGTCTGAACAAAGCATTGATCTGTTTCGAAAAATATTATATCAAAAACTCACCCTTTTGTATAAAACATGTGTATTTTGACGAACAAATGCTCAAGGCCACTTATACAGACCAGAATAACAACTATGTTTGTCCAATCATACGCTAACTTCTCTGTTACTACTTGAGCATATACTCAATAATTACTCCATGCATGTAGACAATAACACAATAAAGAACATTATGCAAATATTGTGGCCAAGACTGTAGATCTGTCGTATTAGACATTTCAAATATTTTTTAAAATATGAAAATAAATAACATAAATGTATTCCACCACTGAAAAAATCTAGCATTGATCTTTTGATTTGCCCTTGTCCAGGGTTAGTGAGAGACTGGAATTACACATAACCTATATAACTTAATGACAAGTAGTGAATAAGATGGGATTTTTTTTTATATATATATTTTTAACAGCTTTGAAATTGTATTCCTAGCTGGTATTAAGTCATTTTAATATTGTGTGATAGATAATACCTACCATTTTGAATACTTTATGATACCTGGTATCGGGCACTTAATATTTTTACACTGGTGGTAATTGCCACTGAATGCTTTTAGTCATCAAACACCTTTAGTACCCTTAAAAAGATCGCACCATACACATTGAACATTTTTACACATCTGGTACTAGACACTTTTTTAGACAGCTGATACAGGACACGTCCGAGTTTCGATCCCTGATACGGGTGCAGCTAGCTTTTCGCTGAAATAAACAGAGAAAACCAAAATAAGGTAAATCTAGACTAGTGTATTATATTCATTTTGAAATCATGACAGTGAAATTACTGTTTTTACACATCACGTGATAAAAATGTAGATGCTTTACAAAAACCTTTCTATCAGTCTATTCCCGGAAGCAGAAAAAATGTTATAATGAATCTAAATTTCAAATAGGCAGCAACTGCCTGTTGTAGAAACCTACAAATGTAGAGGACGACTTCTTCGGGTCAGTGTGTGTTCGTTCGTTCGTTTCTGGCAGTTATTTAGATTTAAAAATAATTATTTCCGAAGAAAT